TCCATTGGTCGCGTTATCGTCTGAATCCGGCGGAGGAAGCGGGAAGCCATCGCCCCGGCCGCCAGCAGCTGCCTTGGAGAAACCCTCGCGGGCTAGCATGGTGTTGAGAACGGCGCAGTTGTAAGACGCCTCGCCGGGCGGCACGACGAGGAAGATATAAGTGTTGTCGGTGAAGCGGCCGAGGAAGATGTTGAACTGGGGAGTTTTGGTATGCATGACCACGAAGCCCGCCGAGGCGGGCGTGGTGAGCGTGTTGCGGGCAGCGCAATGTTTGAAAGCCTTCATGATATTCGACAGACGCTCATGGCGATCGTAGATGGGGTTCAGTTCGCCGATTTCGGATGTCACCGATGTCACGGTTAGGAAGGTGGAGCGCTCGAAAAGGATGACTTCTTCGGCGTGGATCTTCTTTGCGAAGGCTGTGAGGAAGCGCTCGATCACGACGAGGTTCGGGATGAGTTTGTGGACGATGCCTGCCCAGGCTTTGTACAGCGATTGGTCCCAGATGCTGCTGGCGAAGGTGTCCACGCGGAAGTTGTCGCTGCGGCTGCGGATCAGGGCGGAGCGTTCTTCGTAGATGCGTTGGCGGTGCTCGGCTTGGATGAGATCCATCTTGTGCACGAGGCAGAAGACATAGGCGTTTGGACTGAATTCGCGCAGGGCTTCGATTATTGCATGGTATGTGTCTAGGTCTCGGTCGACTTCTCGAGATTCAATGTCGAACACGTAGATGAGCACTGCAACGTCGGAGAAGATGTTCCCGCGTTGGGAGGCGAGGTACGTTTCCATGAAGGCATCTTGTCTGTCAAGCCGCTCAGATTAGTGAATTGCTCTTGGGGAAGTTTAGTCGAACTCACCCGCCGCAATCCCACAGGTTTAATGTCAGGTTGCCCATGAACTTGACATGGCTGTGCTCCACATCGATCGTGGCACCGAGGCGCCGGACATCTTTTGCGACATAGTTGCTAAAGATGATCGAGCGCATGGATGACTTCCCCGATCCACTCTTGCCCATCAAGAGCACCTTTCTCTTCTTCTTCCGAGCATCCATCATGGCAATGGGGGTGTCGAGCTTGAATGCCCCGCTCTTGCGGGGACGGCGCGGATCAATTTGGAGACAGCTTCGGCCGGCTCAAAACAGTAGTCAGGCGGGTTTAGAATCTCGTTATTGGTTGGGCATTGTTTTTGAGACCGAAGACAGAGTAGATAAGAGAGAATACAAGCTCCAACCTTGAGATGCGGAGGCGCGGACTAATGCTGGGCCGTGTCACGTGAGGGGTGGTTGGGGTCGACGGGGGGAAGATGAGTTGGGCACTGAGGTTCAAAAGAGCTTTAATAGAGAACTATCTGCAAGTGTGGATTTCCTTGCGGAACTATTGAGTTTGCTACGCCGAGACTCTGCACTACGACACCCGCAATTGATCTTCACAGCCTGATTTTCGGCCTGATCGGGTTGATTTCCAGGTGGAGTAGAAAGTCGGGATGACGACATGTATAAACAAAAGATCTCAGGTCGTCAAAGAATTCATTTATATTAATATGAACATAGAAGGGTATTAGAAGACAGTGCCGTCAGATCGTATCATGATAGGGGGCTCCTTGGTGTTGGGTCTTGAAACTTCGGCAATTTCGCGACCTCCCTAGAGAGTTGTTAGAATAAAACCCCTAGAAGAAGTGGATTGGCTTCAATGCTTACCTTCCAAGTGCCAGCCTCGAGCATTTGTGCTAGGGATAATTGTTCCTCGCCTCTGAGACCCAACTGGGAGTTGACCTCCTCCAGAAGCTCATCGAGGAAGCCGACAGTGACGGCTCGCCATTCAACAATCACGTCGTCGTCAGCAGAGAACAGGGGCGCCACCTCTACATTGGGTTGACCCTTAATCCGGGCGTTCTCTTTATATGCATCGATTCCACGCTGCATATCTTCGGGCTTCAGACTCAAGAGGCCTAGGTCGATAAGGAGACCTCCGTTTCGGTATTCGGGAAGACCCGTGAGAAGGTCGCTGCCCGCGAAGTGAATGTGCATCAATTTAGACATGGGGACCATAATCGAGTAGCAGAGCCATTGTGTGAGCTTGTGGAATGGGACGATACTCTCCCACTGCTGTGCTGGGGGAGAGGTGGGGAGATCGGAGCACTTCCAGGCATCTCCGATGGGTACACCATCAATTTGTGTTCGTGAAGGGGGCCAGATGGGAGCAAATCCATCCATCAGGACCGACCAAAGAGTTGTGAGTGGTACAATTGGCACGGAAGAAGCGAGAGTTGAAGGGTGGCCCAACAAGTAATCTGAAGACCAAATTAGCAGCTATCCAAACACGCCTGGAATATGAATTCTCGTACCGAGCATGTTTCCTGGCCTGGCATCCACGCCGAAAAAGTCCTGGTTGTTGAGCGCCTCTGCCAATCGAATCAACAGCCCCGTGCGACCCTCAATTCCAGCCAGCGGGTTCTGTTCCGAATGTTGCATGCCCTTGGCCAGCATCTCGGCCGTCATCTTCTTCAATCCTGCCCCGTCCACTTGACATGGCTCCGTCGGGTCGCTACTGAACAGACCCGACTTGAACATCTCCAGACTGGCAACTGCCAGACCTTCACTGCGCGAAAAGACTTTTCCGGACTCTTTCGATCGGTAGGACCATTTGTTGCCCGCCCCGGCGTCCAACAGCACCGAAACCACAAACAAATCAATCAACCGGCGCGTGCGTTCTTGGGCATCAATTCGGCTGGGCCATGATTGCAGCAGCTGATCCACACGCGGTCGACCCCCTACATCGAAATGTTGCCAGCGACCATGCGGCGGAATGCTCTCATAGTCTGGCGCATAATCTCTCTATCATAAACAGCCAACCCACACACTCGTTAGCTTGGCGGGGCTTTTTTTTTTGATATCTGGGGTTTGGTAGATTATTCATTTACCTTGATGATGGATACGACGTAGGACGCGGTAGCTTCGAATTTACTCAAGTCGACGTCGAAATGTTTCAGTTGGTTATTTTTGGCTTTGTTCAGGATGATGGTTGAGCGTTCGCGGACTGCATGAATGCTTCGTAGATATGCGGCGGGATCCAATGCAGGGTCTGGAGGTCTGGCAATCGGCAATTCTGGAATGGAGGCTGGTGGGCCACTGCCCTTGTATCCTGGTGATCTTAAGGAGGTATTTGACGTGCGAGCGCTGTTGACGGACACATATGATTCATTCTCGTCTCTCTCGGACTGCCGCGAGTCTTTCCTCTTGAAGATGCCCATGGTGCATAGGGAGTGAAAAGGGAGGAAGGAGGGGAGTGTTTTTGTTTTCCCTAATGATTTTTTTGGGTGAATTTTGCGGGACCCAAATCCAGGTGGAGTTCCCAAGGAATTTGTACTGTAATGAATTTAGGGGCTTGGATGGGCTGGATCGTGAGGCAAAAAGGCCCCAAAGTTTCGGAGGTACCGGGTACTGGCCAGCACTACCCTGTCAGTATGGTGAGGAGGGGTATTGGGTACCCGACCTCGACCGATTGCCGAAATAGGAAGAAACCAGACTCCACCGAACCAGTCGGAAGAGGGCAGTACGATGGTAGGGAGAAACAGTACACAGTATAGAGAGAGCGAGAAAGAGAGATATCAGACCATCCCCTATTGGGGGAAACCCAGCAAAATGGAGAAAATCCAGCACGGACTGGCGTACCGTTCTGCCTGCCCCTCCACATCCACTTTGGCCCTGGATCAGAATCATGAATGGTCCAACTGTCGCGTATCGCTTCAATAGATCCTCTGTGAATCTCTGGTACTCGTGAACACTCGAACGCCTGTAGATCGAATCTCGGTGAGGATCCGTTTGGATCGGATGCGTGTTCTCTCCCTCTCTATTCTACTCTACGTGTTCTTTACCCCTGGATGAGACCATAAAAAAAAATAATAACAAACTTAATCAAACTGGGTTATCACATGCAGTAAAATTCCCGACGAGGATTGGAGAATCATACAGGATGTATTCCCTCCGCGCTAGGCCGGCATGAACAGGGGGAAGGCGGACCGGACGGGGGGGATGACATGTATTCTTATAGTGATCTGAGAGCATCTAATGCAATGTCTCTCTCTCCCTCATATACTGGACCGAGCAGCAATGACGTTTCACTCCTTCGCTATCCTGCTTAGGGGTCTCATCTCCGCCCTTTATACAACACCGGGACTAAGGCGGGAAGCACGGGCCTGGCCACTCCATTGGGACCGTTTCATGTTGGACTCCGTAAACGCTCGGGGATTAAATTCTCTTGGGCATATACTGTATCGCATCGCCACACTTACCGCGCGGCTCACAGGAACTGGGGAGCGGAGTACTGCCTTTTCCTTTGTCCGCATCATGGCAGGGGTGAACCCTCCAATATCTCCGGACTCGACCGTATCCCGTATGTCCCCTGCCATGAACCATTGACGGTGGGTTTTACCGTGTGCCGTAGATTGAACCTTGGTCTCGATATGCAACTCGACAGAATCGGCACATTACGTAGCTGGGATAAGTAGACGAGGAACAGTCCTGGGATTGGTGCCGTCTAGCCACAGACCCATCTGCTAGTTGATCCCCCTGCTAGTTGTCTGAGATTCGAAGCATCTAGGTCGAGTGGATTAGGGAAACGAGAGCTCTGGATAGAATAGGAAGGAGGTCGGAAACGAGAGGATATTGTGGCCCTAGTTAAACGCCGTACGCTCCGGGACCACATTTGCTCGGTCGTGGACGCCCCGCTTGAGTAAATTTCAGTCCGGGCCTACCTAAAAGCCCTATTTGTTGATACACTGCATCCCCATACTACTGTACCCTAAGGTACAGGGGTTTATTAGGTCTGATTGACATCCGGTACTAAATCCGCATTATTCAACTTTGAAACCGATCATTGAGCTACTAGTATATTGACTCTATGCAGTCAACAAGTTCAATAGAAGTGGACCATGCAACCAAAACAAACAATAGAAACCTGTGATACTATCTCCCAGCAAAATGTAAAATGTTTTGGTTGAGTTTATTGAAAATTGGCAATGATCTCCCGAATCAGTCCAAGTAGTTGCTCACGGTGTGCCAATCCACTGGACTTGTACCATTTATCGGAAACAAGGCCCATCAACTCTAGCCACAAGACCTGCCAGTCCACTGAATCAGTCTCTCGCAAATCCACTTCAAAAAGCAAATCCTGTTTGGATTGTAAACGGCTTCTGCAGAAGGCATCTGGTAAATTCAACGCAAATGTGGATAGCATGTTACGCAGATTTTGCACATCGGTTTGAGTGTAGATGACAGGGCAAATGATCTCCGCCACCAGAAGAGAGATTTCGAGTGGCGGTCGATTGACACAGGAACTATTGCGTTTTCCAACCACATTATGGGCACGTTGGATTGCTTCTTGAAGCTCGGGTATAGTCCATGGATTAACCATGATATCACAGTTGAAAATGTAGCCCTCAAATCTCTTGTATGTGACCTCAGCAAGCTGGACACAATATATGGTATCCAGGTCATACAAAGCCAGGACTGTATGGGGTTCCCAATACTGTCTCGCGGCCTGAATAACTTGACCAAGGGTCTTCTCGATCAACTCTTTCCCTGCCAGATGGCCAAGGATCTCCCAACAATAAAAGTGAAATGCGTACCACATATTTTTGTCTTTATAATGGTTTGGATGCGCCAATTCACTTGCTGGATGGAAATGTATGAATGTTGTATCATCATACTGTGGTATCTCTCGTCCAGAAATTTATGCGGTGTTCTTGTCTCTTGGAAGCTGGCATGACTGACCAAAAATACGGGAAATTGGACCAACTCCCGTGAGATGGTATTCTGACGAAGAAGCATATCTGACAGCTTGAATTTACTTTGAGCTTCAAAATTGGATGTTTGCATGAGAATGTCCTTTTACCCCCCCCCCCCTTCCCCCCCCCCCCCCCACCCGCGCTGATAGCAAGATGATCACTAAAGGAGTTTGGAGAAAATGTGATTCACCACTTCCGTCGATGGCACGAGGATGTGTTCAGGTATCGGGGTTTTGCGATGGATTTCCCAGTGAGAATCCTTGAGCAAATCTAGGTGATCCTTGCTCATTGTTCCAACATCCAAAGGCAAAATAAGTGTATGACAAAATAGACATATTTCTCGAGAATCGCGAGACTCACCAAGTTTTGGGGACAGGTTTGGCATTTTGCAAGGACAAGATATTGAAGGAGTAAAAGGAGAAGCGTATAGGAGACAGCCCTGGAGAAATCAAAGACACGGAGAGTATGTAGGATTGACGGAGCGATGAGCGGCACTATCGGAATTGGAACGTCAGTGCTGTAAGCTCAATAAAACTTTAGCCTTAGAGCCCATCTCTTGATCTAATAGACATGTCATAGAGGCATCAGCCTTCGAGGCACAATATGCACCTTTTCTTAAAGATTGGAATCCCACTACTTGGTATAGAAATAAAAGTCATCCACCAGGATCACGAGATATAAACACATTATGCTCCCAACAAGTTTGAATATAGGCAAACGCCTAACATAATTATATCAACATCAAACCTTACTAATATGCTATTGTAAGCTCTACACTTCAAAGCGTTAATAAATGGCCACTTAGTATTTATTCCAAACAGCCTAGTCTTCAGCTTAAGAACAGATAATTCCAAAGACGGCAATTGTAGATCTGGAGGCGCCTCGCTGTCATCCGTATCATTCATCATTGCCCCATGGTTGGCTTTTGGTAAATGAGAGGTTCAAACAATAGCCTAATCTTTACCCTTTACATTGCTTACTTCTAACATTATATCAAACTTCAGCGAACTTGTATATTGCGAATTAATAATGTGATCTAAGGACTTACAATGAACTTATAAGCTTTGCTCATTTCTCAAGTATAATATGGTGTATTTCTACCACTAAAGCAAAAGATTTAGTAGCTAAAAATCGAAAGAAGTTTACCACGGAACATATTCTAAGGCAAGCATAAGCGTGCTCAGTTCTACCCAAGGAGCAAAAAGCGGCAAGGTCTGAGGACTAAAACGGAAAAGACAAGCCAAGTGCCCCAGAGTGGGCAAATCAAGTACATACCGGGCCAGGAATCATTCACGGAGACTGCCGCTCACGACCCACTGACAACAAGTGCCAAGTACTTTGTTTGGTACTCGTGAAAAGTGCCTATACGAGGTCTGAGTGCCTGTCAAAGTTTCTTTAGTCTGCCCGCTAAGACTGACTAACACGCGAAGCTTTTATCAACCCTCGGCTTTTGGACAACCCTAAATCTTTCTATATTGGGAAGTTTTGTGGGATATGACGGGCTCTTCGTTCTCCCCATGTTTTTCTAGCACTGCCACCATCATTTAAACTTCCTGGCTGGGATAGGTTTCGTGTTTCTCATCAACCCCATTAAAAAACCCGCAGATGTCCATCTTCTCCCATTGGAGGCTACCACAAGAATTCCCTCCAGAAACCTTCTTTTCTGATCTGCTATGATTGATGGGCCGGCAAATCCTCGGGCATTTCTCTCCTTTGTAGTTGGATAGAGACAGATTAACATGCACAAGGCTTGCAGCCGGATCGAACGCCATAGGCCAAGTGTCAGATGTCTGCCAATTAGGGCCAGGAACCGATGATCTTTCTCGGCTGTGCAGTGCAGTAGAACACTCCACTTGCATAGAGACGGGAGAAATCAATCAGTTTAGCTTTGTGCCGCTTGTAATAGCCGGTACAGTACCTGTCAGTCTGTAAGTCTGTGGGCCGCGGTTAGTAGTCGAGGCATGTATGGCGCATAGCGATAGACATGACAAATAGAGCTTTACGTTTTGACAGATTCAGTTTAATTGCCAATAAAAGTCTGGGAGGGTATCTGCAAGCAGAAATGATCGAAAAGCAGAAGATCTGAGCTGGGTAGTTCCTGACATCGACGTCACCTCGTATACAGTGAGTACCTAATAATTTCACCAGGAGTCACCATTAATCTGATCATTCATTCGAAGCCCAATCCCAGTAAACATAGACTTAAGACGTAGAAAGAGTTGAAGTGACAGGAGAGCTGAGCTTCAGAATGGACACATAGCATCACGTGCAGCCCCGTGCGGTCTGGATCCCCCACATGCAGGGGGGGCAACGGGCAACGGGCATCGTACATCTGCTGAACCATTGCAAGACACAGTTACTTCAGACCTCTTTGATGACCTGGTGAGATCATGGAAACCCTTCATCAATTCCCCAGGCCCTAATCCTCCGACACCAGACGACGCGACGTCACTCTTGAAGCTCCGCGACACAACATGGAGGACCTCAACGGCTTGAGTTGGTCCTCCGACACTAGCAAGACAAATAAGCCCCCACCCATGGGCTCTGGATACCTGTTCCCTAGTATTCCATCAAACGGCGGCTCTGGCAGGTCTACACCGTTATCCGCCACATCAAATCGCTCAAGCTCGCCATCAAAGCCCGCCGTATCGACTGGTGACAGCTTCGCCAACCTAGTTTCATTTGGCCCTGCCGCTGGAAACAAGAACCTTTCTCTTGCGGAACAACAGAAGCGCATGCAGGAGGAGAAGGCCAAGAAGGAGGCCGAAAATCGCAGCCGGTTTGAATCGCAATACGGAGGACAGAACAATCAATTCTGGGACAACTTTGAACAAGGACGTACACAGAGCCCTGCTGCAGCTCCAATTCCCCAGTCGGTATCATCGCCAGCCGACGAAGATGATCTTCTAGCTGCCTTCAATTCTGCTGCGCCGGTTGACGCATCCACTCATTTCCCAGTCCCAATCTCCGCTAGGTCATCGCCTCAAATCAATACGAACACCCGACAGACACCTTCCAATGGGGGAATATCTATGCGTGATAATGCAGGGGGACTCAATACGTTTGAAGATGACGATCCGTTTGGGTTGAACCAGTTGAAGCCCAAGGCCTCTCCCGCGCCTGCCCCCGAACAAGGCGACGATGACGATTTTCTTGGACTACTAGGGAAACCGGTGTCAGAAGTTCCTCGCCAGCAGTCGCCTCTTTCATCTGACACCCCGTCGGACCGCGGACGCAACCAAGATGCATCCCCTATGCCTTCCAACGACGTCGATCGAGCCATTGCAGAGCTGGTTGATATGGGATTCCCTGCGGACAAGGCTCGCCGAGCTCTCAAGACCACGGAATCCGGAACTGATGTACAAGGTGCTGTTGGGTGGCTTCTTACCCAGGCCCATTCCGAATCTCGGCAGAAATCTGACGGACGCCCCAACGGCCACCCTACTGATCGTTCCGAGAGAAGCGACAGCCGTCATCGTGATGCGCCCTCCTGGATGAGAGAAGAGAGAACACAATCTCCTCGTGCTCGCGATAACAGAAGCCCTGCATCGGCGGACAAGGATCCTGCGCAGATGGCATCGCAATTCGGTAACAACTTGCTGAAGTCCGCGGGCTCGCTCTGGAAAACTGGTAGCAAGAAGTTCCAACAAGCTGTGAATGAATTCAACACCGAACATGACTCCAGCCAGCCTCGTTGGATGAGAGAACCTTCCTCACACGACCAAGCTCCCCCACAGCCTCAACGTCCAAGTCGTCGTGAGCAGCCTGACCAGGCTCAGACGCAACCGCAAGACTTCACAAACGAAGCACTTCTGCTTGAGTCTGGCGATGGCCGGCCTCGCAAACCTACTCGTTCTCGTGAAAGCCCACAACCTGATCCCAGGAGTCTTCCTCCGCGCAACCAACCCTCTCCAGCTTCTGTTCAACCAAGGCAGCAACCGAATTTCCTCCAGCGCCCATCCCGACAAAGTTCCCAGGATCCGAAATCTCGACTGTCACGGTTTGCCGCGGAAGAACAGTCAGCAGAAGCCTATGTCAGTCCCGCGAGACGCAGGCGCCCACAAGCGTCACCGCAACCCGAGCCCAATGTCGATCTATTTGATTATCCTGCACCTTCAGCGAGTCGTCCAAAGCCATCTTCTCCAGCTCAGGCAGCTACACCTCCCGTGCGCTCAACTCCCATTCCCGTGCGCCCCAAAGCCCCAGCACGGTCTATTCCTCCTGTATCGCCACAGGCACTTGAATCAACACATCGGCACCGTGGCAAAGCTGCAGAATCATACAAGCGAGGTGACTACGCAGAGGCCCACCAAAGCTTCTCTGCGGCTCTTGGTATGCTTCCTGACAAGCATCCGATTACGCTTATTATTCGCAGCAACCGCGCAATGACTGGCTTGAAAATTGGAGAACCTAAATCTGCGATTGAAGATGCAGATGTAATTCTCGCCTTCATCGGGCCCTCTAGAGGCGAATCTGAGATGATTGACCTCGGAAATGGCGAAGCGTCCAAGCCTATGAAAGACTTCTACGGCAAGGCATTGATGCGCAAGGCCGAAGCCCTCGAGCAGCTAGAGCGCTGGGGCGATGCAGCACAGGCATGGAAGCTGGCTGTGGAGTCTGGCCATGGCGGAAGCACAAGTATCGCAGGCCGGAACCGATGTGAAAAAGCCGCTGGCACCAGCAAACCTCAGTCAAAACCCGCTGCCCCTGCCAGGAAGAAGCCGTCACCGGCGCCTAAGCAGGTGTCCGCTTCATCGGGCCTCACTGCCACGTCGGCGTCTGGAAAAGACTTTGAAGCGGTTAGTCGACTGCGACAAGCTAACCAGGCAGCTGAGCGAGCCGATGAAGAGAAGTTCGCTCTTACAGAAAGTGTCGATCTTAGACTGGCTACCTGGAGGAACGGCAAGCAAGATAACCTGCGTGCTCTTCTGGGTAGTCTGGACTCTGTGCTCTGGCCCGAGGCCGGGTGGAAGAAGGTTGGTTTGGCAGAGCTGGTTCTGCCAAACAAGGTCAAGATTCAGTACATGAAGGGCATCTCAAAGGTCCATCCTGATAAGGTATGTTTGATCCTGGCTATTTGGGCTTCCCCTACAATTTTTGGTCCTTAACTGACTTTCCCCCTCTAGATCTCTACGACTGCCACTACTGAACAGCGCATGATTGCTGGAGCTGTGTTTGGAACTCTGAATGAAGCTTGGGATAAGTTCAGGATCGAGAATAATCTATGAGCTTAGCTTTGCTTTTGCTGTCTTTGTTGATACCATTTATCCCCTGATCCCGGTCTTCATTTTGATTACATATCATGATCTGACAACCCTAGAAAGCACTTCATAGCATTTTCTCTTGGACGTTTCCTATTTGGGCTCTTGTCATGTATATCTTTTGGGTGTACACAAAAAGTAGTCTGGTTTTTACGCTAGTAACCATGCTGAAACTCCGTTGCTTGATGTTGGCAAATAACTTATTTTGTACAATGGATGATTTCTCATGCGTCGGTCATCTCCTCAGGCTGTGCATCAGTTTTAGCCTCTGCCTCAGTCGTCTCCTCAGTCTGAGCCTCCAGCTCCTGTTGCTTCTTCTCCTCCCGAAGGCGTATCCGCTCCAACGCAGCCTCCTTTTTCATCTGCTTCTTGCTCTTAGTCGGGTTATCATCGGGCTTAGCAATCTTCTCAGAGGGCCACTGCTGTCTGCATCGCTGCTCATCCTCTTCAGACCAATCGCGGGGCAAGATAGCAAAAACCAAGTATGAAGTATGAGTCTTGAGATCCGGCTCTGTGCGATGCGTCAAGCGACCAAGAGCATATGAAGGCGCATCAGAAGCTGCGTCCTTGTAAGCCGGCGCATTCTCCACAATGGGCTGGTAATCGGGGTTCTCCCTGTTTGCCCGGTGTTCACGGATTCGCTTGGCGCGCTGTTCATCGCTGCGCAGCTTGACAACCGCCTCCTCGACAGTCTTCGGGTACAGTGTTGCACCACGCACACCCTCAGTATCTAAACCGACTCGGTCCCGCCGCACATCAATCCGACGCTGAGCAACCTCCACCATGGAAATATTCAGCCATGATAACTGGCGCATAGTACGGATCGTGCGCTCGGCCTGTTCGAGACAAGGCGAGAAAGTGCATATATAGATCGGCGATAATGGGTCCAGCGCTGACTCGCCGGAGGGAGGGTTGCGCGTGAGATGCTTCAGTGCTAGCCAGGGCGCAGGCAGATCCAGGAAGATGGCATTGGCCTTGGGTGATTGGCCGGTCTTGGGATCACCGAGTAGGAAACCATCTTCGTAGACGTCGCGATGCGTAACCTCCACAAGCCCATCGAGCCCGTGGTCCTTGAGTTCTGCCTGTACCTTTCCGACGCGCTGCTCGTGGAACTCGAAACTGCACACTTTTCCTAGACAGCGGCGTTTTGTCGCTTGGGCGGTTTCTGGGTAGCCATTGAATACGGCGCGAACGGCCGCGTGTGTGAAAGAGCCACTGCCGGCTCCGGCTTCTATGACTGTGCTTCCTGGTCGTGCGCGCAGTCGGTGGAGGATATAGCTGTAGTCGGGTGTGTAGACGACCTGGGTGCGGTGGGGGAGAGATAGGGTCCAGGCTTCGGGGGTTGGGGCCAGAATGTGTAGGAAACCACTGGTGGCGGCGACGGCGGTTTTCAATTCGGGCTTTTCATCTTCTGCGGGTGTTGTTGCGGCTGATCCGTCAAGTTCATCGGCCTTGCGCTTCGAGGTGTTTCTGCGGCCGCGGGAGCCTGTATCGACTTTGGATGCGACGATTTGTGAGCCCCAGGGTTTGCCGATCAGAGTGCTGTGTGGGAATGATCCGAATCGAGTGTTGGCCACTTTTCCTTCCAGATAGCCTTGGTTCTCGTCGTCATATGTACGGAGGATGGCCGGAATTATCTGGTCGCGACGCAGCTGTAAGAGGGCCAGACTGTCTGCGTCCGCCGTAGCGCTCGGCGTCAAGAATGGAGACGGCATGGTGAGTGATAGGAAGGAAATGCGGAAGTCGTCTGGGGAAGTCGAGATCGACCTTGTCGAAAAAGTTGCCTGATTACCCGATACGGGTATAAAGTAGGGCTCAGGGCTTGGTCCTCCCATCCCCAGCTGCCGCCAATCACAGCGAGTCCGCAAGTGCTGGATGAGTCGTAACAAGAGCCCCTCCCCCTCCATTAGCTTCTTTATGCTCCTCCCCCGTCTTCCCTTCCTTTCCTTCCCGTCTAGACAGCGGTTTCTGCCTTCTTTTGCTTCCTTTAGGTCCATGTCTTCACGTCAACAGCCGCCATGGCGGCAACCGTCCAGCCCGGACGCGCAACTGCCTGCTTTGAAGGTGTGGAACTCGTTGACCAAGACTAAGACACCCTTTGTCCCGATTGATCCTGCTGGAAAGAAGGTCATGTGGTATGCGTGTGGCCCGACTGTTTACGACGATGCGCATTTGGGACATGCCCGCAACTATGTTAGCACCGATATTATCCGCCGAATTATGCGCGACTACTTCAAGTTTGATGTGAACTTTGTTATGAACATTACGGATGTCGACGACAAGGTATGCACTCGCGCTGTGGTGAAAATACCACCTATCCTGAATCGTGTGACTCACAAATTGGATAGATTATCCTCCGTGCCAGACAACAACACCTGTTCAACGAATTCGTCACTGCCAGCCCTACGATCACCCCGGAGATTCTTGACACCGCGAAGAGTGCATTCACTGCCTACTTGAAGAAGAACCTGCCCTTGCTCGATTCCGCACTCCCTCCATCGCAATACAAGGCCGAAGTCGAAAAGACATACAAGACTATTTTGAACGGCGGAGCTCTGCCCGGAAATGAAAAGGCTGGCGATGACGAGGCTAAAGTCAAGATGCACATCAAGACAGCTGCCTCGGCAGCAAATGTTATTGCGCAGGCTGAAACACGCGATGCCAAGAGCGCTGACCCTGCTCTGTTTGCTGAGACCTTCTACAAGGATGCGCAAGACCTTATTCTTCCCTACCTTGACGCGCTCAAAGGCGCATCTGTTGATGCCAACGACCACAGCATCTTCACCAAGCTTACTAAGCGATATGAGCAGCGGTTCCTCAACGACATGCGGGACTTGAATGTTCTTGATCCCACTGAGTTGACTCGGGTGACGGAATATGGTGACGAGATTGCGGCTTTCGTGGATCGTATCGTTCAGAACAAGTTCGGATATGCCACCGAAGACGGATCGGTTTACTTCGACATCAATGCCTTCGAGGCTGCAGGCCACCCGTATGCTCGTCTTGAGCCATGGAGTCGGTCTGACAACAAGTTGGCTGCAGAGGGCGAAGGTTCACTGGCCAGCAAAACCACAGAGAAGCGCGGTGCTTCTGATTTCGCTCTCTGGAAGTCTTCCAAGCCCGGTGAGCCGGCTTGGTCCAGCGCCTGGGGCAAGGGTCGCCCTGGATGGCACATTGAGTGCTCTGCTATGGCTTCTGCCAGGCTCGGCAACCAGATGGATATCCACTCTGGAGGTATTGATCTTGCTTTCCCTCACCACGACAATGAGCTTGCTCAGAGCGAGGCCTATTGGCATGATGACCACAAGCATGACCAGTGGGTGAACTACTTCCTGCACATGGGCCATCTGTCTATTCAAGGATCGAAGATGTCCAAGTCTCTAAAGAACTTTACCACCATTCGGGAAGCCCTGGATCGAAAGGACTGGACCCCGAGAAGTCTGCGTATTGTTTTCCTTCTCGGTGGCTGGAAGGACGGCGTTGAGATCACAGATGAGTTGGTTAATACCAGCAGCTCGTGGGAGGACAAAGTGAACAACTTCTTCCTCAAGGTCAAGAACCCTTCGGCCGTCCAGTCGTCTGGCACCGACACCACTTTTGCTGCTGATTTGGCAGCGGCCAAGAAGGCTGTCGATGAGCAGCTTTGCGACTCTTTCAACACCCCAGGTGTTATGCAATCGATCTCGGAGCTCATCACCAAATTTAATGTCGTGGACAAGGCCACTCTGAACCTCAAGGATGCCGAGGATGCCGCACGATGGGTCACCTCTATTGTCAACATCTTCGGTCTTAACGGTACCGCCTCGGCTGACAATGCTGAGATTGGCTGGACTGGTATCGATGTCCCCGAAGAGGCCAAGGCTTACCTGTACCCCCTCTCGGCCATTCGTGACACTCTGCGCCAAGCTGCTCGGTCCAAGGCTGGCATCTCAGCCAAGGATATTGAGGACGCCGTCGCCGCTGCACCTGCCCTGCAAGAAGCTTCCGAATCCGTCAAGCCCTATGCAGAGCTTTACTCCAACTTCCGCAACAAGGTTGTATCATTGGAGTCATCCGATTCGATTGGCAAGGATATCCTGTCCTTGTGCGACCGGGTGCGTGACATTGACCTCTTCGATGTTGGTGTATATCTTGAGGATCGGGACAACCAGCCCGCCCTTGTTCGGCCTGTCACCCAAGAGATGCTCAAGGCGCGCGAAGAGAAGGAAACTCGTGCCCGTCAAAAGCAGGAGGAGAAGGCGAAGAAGGAGCAGGAGGCTCTTAAGAAGGCCGAAAAGGGCAAGTTGAGCCACTTGGAGATGTTCCGCACCAACGAGTTCAGCGCCTGGGATGAGGAAGGTCTTCCTACCCGTGACGCTGCTGGCGAGGAGATCACCAAGAGTCGCGCGAAGAAGCTTCGCAAGGACTGGGAACGCCAGAAGAAGACGCACGAGGCGTGGTTGGCCACTCAGGCCAAATAAAAAATTAGCTGAAAAGCATAAGCACTTAGCTTCATACCTCGGTAGGGAGGTGATTCATTTTGCATCGCGGGGCGTTTCTGGTACATATCATATATTTTCCTACGAATCCAACAATTGCCCGATTGGGATAAACTAAGCACTACCCCTCCATGTACATGCAGCTCGGAGCAGTCTAGTCCAGCGACTGCTCATTTATTCGAACCGGGAAAAAAGGCCTGAACTTGCTATGTGGTGGGCTGATGGGGTCCCCCAGAACTCATACCCCAATCAAAGCTCATCTGGGGTTCAGTGCGGAGGTGGTCTATCATCTCTCCTGTTTTTGTCCATCGCCTCTCTTTGCAGACTTTGTATTTAGTGTTTTCTTAATCAACCAAATGGGGGTTTGATTTCCTTTCCACATTCAAGATGGCTATCCAGACAGGTCTTGACTACATGCGTTCGCGCACGGTGGTTGACTGCGACACAATGGACGAAGAAGGTATGCTACCTCGCAACAAGATTTGTTGATTATGAGCAGAAGACTAAGAAATCCCAGTTGCCAAAACACTCGGTCCGTTCCAAGACTGTACTTCCAACCAAGTATGAGCTTTCACATCCTGGAGTGAAGTGAATGCTAACCGCCCAGGCCATCGCCTTCGGCGAGCTATCCAAACCCGCACGCGCGGAGGTGATTTCCGCATCGCTAACCGATGCGAGAACACTGAATGCAAAGTATTCATCCATCTCGGCTGAAGAACTAGCCGTTGAGATTGCGGTACGCACTAAATGAACGCTGCCATGAAAGTGGTTTGTTACTAAGCTATCAATCAGATGGTACGAATGGCTGCTGGCATGGCACAGCACATTCGCGGACGAGTCCATGTGCAAACAAACCCATACTATTCATACTCGACAGAAAAGACCGTCATCAATGCCCTTCGTATTGTCCAACTGTTCCAGCACGTCCAGCCCGGCTTCGATGTGGAACGCATTTCCATCAAGATCCCAAGCACGTGGGAGGGAATGATGGCCTGTCGTACGCTTGAGCTAGCTGGCGTACGTACTCTTGCTACTACGTTATTTAGCATGGCTCAGGCTGTTCTTGCCGCCGAAGTAGGCTGCACTTATATCGCACCTTATGTTAATGAGTTGAAGGTTCATTTTAACACTGCGTGAGTATACACATCCGTGCTTCCACTTCTTTGTGGCGCTGATTATAACTTTGACTTGTATCTCAAAACAGGTTCGTGGACCAGTCAAAGTTACTTCCACTTTGTGCAGCTGTTCAGAAATATTACAAGTCAATCAATGCTTCGACGCAGGTCCTGCCTGCTAGCTTGACCTCTGTCGATGAAATTTACTTCCTTGCTGGTGTTGATCATCTCACTATTGCGCCACATCTTCTGAGCCAGTTGACTCAGCCTTACTCTGGCAACGTCAACTCGCTCTTTGATGTTGCGCCTACTTTGCCTATTCCCGCAAAGGGCGTCTCTTTCCTGAATGACCCCAGCAGCTATCAGATCACGTTTGCACGAGATCTTGGTGGCGCTAGTCAGATTAAGCTCACTGAGGTATGTCCGCTCTATGTTTTTTTTTTAGAATTCGAATTTCGCTGATGGGTGTCTAGGCTGTCAACATTTTTTGTGATTTCCAGGACAAGTTGGAGCAAATCATGAAGATTGCTGCTTAGTTCTAGACTTAAGGGGCCACTATTAGGTAGCCTATTCTCACCAATCTCACATCTAGCCAGAAATAGCCAGATATAAGAAGAAATCTACGTCCTGCCTCTTGAATTCTCCGTTTATACTTCCCGGCACGTGACCGGCCTAAGACGTCATCCACCTTTCATCCGCTTTCTCCAATTCTTTTCCCGCACCTTCAATTGTTACATTGTCGACTTGTACAGAGCTGGATTGCCCAGCAAATAAATTTTGACTTGTGTGAAAGACTCTTTTTGCCATCCATTGTTTCTGGAACTTGATAACTAGGTGGGAAAGTTCGCATTCGAATCATACGGTTCCGCCTGCATCATGTTCCCCTCGCAGGCGGCTAATTTTAACATCGAGGCCCTGAGTGGCATCTGTGGGTGAGTTTAAATTCTTGCATTTGTCTTTTTGTTTGGATTTTTGTGGAATTTGTCCGGCTTTTATACTGTCCTCATGGGGCGTCCTAGTCAGTACATACATGTGTGACAGGTCGTAGATCCATCAGGACCGACGATCTCTCAATTCTGTCAATAGTTCATTTCCAAGTAACACACTAACTAATTCAATATAGATCCATTTCAATTGCCTGCTGGGTCGTCGTGTTCTCTCCGCAGATCATTGAAAATTTCCGACGCGGCTCTGCCGATGGCCTTTCTCTGCTTTTCCTGGTTGTCTGGTTGGCCGGAGATGTATTCAACATTCTCGGTGCTGTCATGCAGGGCGTTCTCCCTACTATGATCATCCTCGCTGTATACTACACTCTAGCAGACATAGTCCTCCTGGGCCAGTGCTTTTACTATCGAGGATTCAACCTCAAAGATGAATTGTCTCCGTCGCCCACCCCGGGAGCTACTCCAGCCAATGGTGTTCAGGATGCCGAGGCTACTGGCGTCGAGCACCCAGCCCCAACAGAGAGATCCGCTTTGATTCCTAAGTCCAACGGCCATGTTCATATCCAAGACCCAGTCCAAAGTATCGCCGGAGAGTCTTCTCAAGAACGCATTCGCCCGACTTATGCTCCAGAAGGAAGAAGGCACTCAGCCACATCGTTCCATGATATCTTCCATTCATCGGTGGATGGAACTCATCTTTCTCCTGCAACCCCATTCGTCGAGCCCGATTCATCACGCAACCGCTCCCAACGAGCTCGTCGCCGCCGTATTTCCACCATCCAAGCCATTCTTTTCAACTCCACCGCTGTGATACTGGTATGTGCTGCAGGTGTGCTGGGATGGTACTTCAGTCCGGCCTCAAAATCTCCGGCGCCAGACTCGGAACCTCTTACCATGGATGTCCTCGGCCAGGTCTTCGGATACCTTTGCGCGGTGCTGTATCTGGGATCTCGTTTGCCCCAGCTGCTCCTGAACTACCGTCGCAAGTCTACAGACGGAGTTTCTTTGCTTTTCTTCCTGTTTGCCTGCATTGGTAATCTCACCTATGTGCTGTCTATCTTGGCATACTCGCCTGTTTGCCATGGCGAATCGTCTTCCGTGGATGTCATGGGCCGTCACCACCGTGAGAAGTGTCACCCTGGTGAGGCAGCCACATTGTATGGGCGGTATGTGCTGGTCAATTTGTCCTGGCTTGTTGGAAGTGCTGGTACGCTTTTGTTGGATATGGCGATCTTCGCCCAGTTCTTCCTGTACAGTGACGGCAAGGATTTTGACGAGGAGCATGATGACCAGGAGTAGTGCCTTGAATGACTCATGTAAAATTAACGAACCTATCGTGTTGAGAGCTTGGCTACCTCATCTATTATACACGTTCTACTGCCTCAAAATCGAACAAACGACCCTTCTTTTTGTCTGTCAAGGAACTGAATGATAGGATCAATTTCCCGATACCCAATTTCTTTCAGGTAACTTTATGAGGGCTGCCACCCTACTGTCCACGTAGACAAGTAAATCAATAGTGTCCTTTGATCATGCACGTCGACCAAAGGAGGCTCAATAAAATTGCGTATATCAATGGTGCCGGGTAACAGCATTCTCATCGATCCAAATTTAGAAATTAAGACGTCTTGCGTGTGTGAGCAGGTCGATACCTACTGAACGAAAGTTATGAGATGCCATCTGTGACGCCCAACAGCATTCCTTATAGGTAGCTATCTAACATGTGCCGTTTTAAATTGCAAACATCTAGCATAACTATCAAGATGTCTGATAATTTGTATCTGATGCCACGCTCATATAGCTCTCTCATCTAAATTCCATTTGCCTTTCGCTAACGGCGGCAAACATCCATTCAAGATATCCTATCCATATTGACATGAGATATACCTTGCTGTGCCGCATACACGAGTTATATGACCAGGCTGCAAGTATTATCTGCAGGATCTATTCTTTCAACTACTCGAAAACGTTGTTTAATGACGAAACTGTGAAACTGTGTGATTTCGAGACTTACTACTCCCCTGAATCCTTTCCAGGCCCTACACACCTAGTCGATGCAGGCCAATAAGGGAACACATGCAAGACATGTTTCTTCTTTCGCCTAGCATGACCATGAATAAAAGTAGCGGTCAATCGCAATAGGAAAACCTCGCCAGCTAAGTACAAAGGAAGAGTTTGGTACGGAACAGGGATTGCAGACCCGCGATTGGATTCTTGACGCCATAAGCATAAAAACAGGAGATATCAAAGATCCAAAAAAGCAAGCTCAACAGCTCCCAATCTCTCCTATTCTGCCCAAAAAGCCCAATGTCATCCCACCTTTGTGGGATATAACAAATCTCACCAGGAACCCTAGTAAACAACTTGTCACGGCAGCCAACCAAACCCAGGATCACTTATGCAAGAACCTGATCACCACCACACTAAGCAAGCAGCCGATCATGTCGGGCATTCAAGAGGAGTACTCGGATAATCGGACAATGATCACACCTGGGCATAACTTATAACGGATGTAAGGAGGGGGTTTGGGGTTGAGAGGGGCCGGCGGCAAATATCAGTTTCAAGGAGAACGAATAGCACCCAAGCTAAGTCCGAGCCCTAACGAAATACCATCCTATCATTTTCGGCTTTGAGTTTGACTATTTGCACTTATGCAGGTGCGATCCATGGTTCGGGGAGGGTTTCTTCTACTGTATAGAGGTGTTTCTGGCTCGATGAGCTCACTATAGTTGCTTCCCAGCCAACTGTATCTCGCACTCGGGAGTTTGCGTCGGACTTGGGTGCTGGAATTTGCAGAATTATTTCCTGATTCCAGCCCAACTGTCTATATTCCTATCTCTTCTTCGATCATGATGATCGTTGATTATGTATAAAGCCGTAGAAACCCCATGGTGGATGTAGTCGGACAGAGCGAAGCAAGTGAGACACAAAGCCGAGCAGACAAAGCAAGCCAGAGAAAATCCTGCCATCGAAGCTACTATTCTTTATTTTCCTTAAAGACGAGAGATTACCTCGTTTCTCCAAGCGCAACAGCTCAACTCAGCACTCCATTCCAAAGACACCAATCCAAAAACCAATCCAAGAAAATCTAGCAACAATGAACGTGGTGCCTGAACAAATAGCCCATGGCAACTGGAACACGTACCACACCGTCTCAATGACCGGATTCGGCACTTGCAGCATCGTGGTCGTATACAACAAGCACGGCTTCCTGGCATCTAACATCTCTGCCGGAACAGAGCTGGAGAAGGATGCCATGACCAAGCTCTGCGCGACCTACCCAGGGATCAAAAGCACCGTGTTTAAAAACCAGTCCGTCAAAGCGCTGATCCTGTGCGAGCAATTGAATATAGAGAAAGGGGGGTTGATGAGAAGTGCTGCAGAGAGTCTGACGCTGGCGAGTGAGATCGTTGTGAGGTATTACGATGCCCCGTCGTTCTTGGGAACATCGCCTACGACGCCGGGCTGTCATTTCTCTCTTGGGCCATTTGGGAATGGGTTCAATGCTGTTTTGCGGGGTGCCAGTGGGAAGTCGGTCAATCCTTTGACTGCGTCTGCGGGTGCTTTGAAATGTCCATAGAAGATGGGGTTAGGGCTGAATAGGTAGGATCAGGGTTAGAGCTGAGGGTGGTGATTTCGGATTGCTTTCAGACCCGATCTTCTTACTATGACATTGGGTATAATTGAGGTAGCTGCGAATTGAAGTACGGGTTCAAGACTATGAGAAATGTCCCAGGAAGGTTCAACCAGTGAATTTGAAGCTAGCTTGACATGGGCAATGATAAAAAGAAGAATCTGGCAAAACACCTTCGCTGAATGCGGTAGAGGATATGAAATCATGATTGAAATGGTTTTTTGAAACAGTCACTTGAAGCAGGAAGCAGATTGTGAGAGCCATTAGTTTGGAGGATGAGCCTCCACCTTACCCTTGCCAACCTCCGACCAGTTGGTGCTTAGGGATGTACCCTGGCTTTCAGTGTAGCTCTTGATCATGGCGCGGCGGGTTTCAGGGTCGGCATTGGCATATAGCTTCTTGAAGAATCCATCGACTGCATCGCCGCCGAGCTCATCATCCGAGGCATCATCGGCTTCGTCCTTCGATCCAGCCTTGGGCTTCTTCTCAGTTAGAGAAGAGGCAACTTGATCCCAGTTTTTGGCGCCGCTGCGGGAAGAGGTAGGGTATGAAGGGCCTGAGGCAGCTGGTGCAGCTGGTGCGGCGGGCCGGTCAGTCACCTCGGTGGCGGTGGAGGAGCCTTCCAAAGCATTCCACTTTTGGCCTGCCTTTTGCTTCTGTAGAGTGATTTCGATCTTGGTGCCCATGACAGAAACCTTGGAGGCAGAAGCATCGATGGTAGCGTAGAGAGGATCCAGAGTAAAGTCATATTCGGCGCCAGAGGGGAGAGGGAATCGCAGAGACAGCTGTGGATTGTTAGCTACCGCTTCAAAAGAAAATATCACAGATATGACTTACCGAATTCTCCTTCAAATCAGTTGTAACCTTATCCTTGGGAATTCCCTTGATGTAGAGGGTGACCACCACAGCATCCTGAGATTGATACCACTCATGGCGCACCTTCTCCAGAACAGCAGCGGGTGCAGTAGCACTCCCATGAGCACTCTGAGACTGAGCACCCGAGGGCCCAACAGCAGAAGACGAAGCAGGGCCAGCAGCGGCCTTGGACGCATCCTTCTGGGCAGTCTCGACAGCTCCAACACCCTTGCCAGACTTAATAGCAGCCAACTGAGCCTTCAACTCAAATTCAGTAGGGATCTGGACATTTCCCGGAACCTCCACAACAGAAACAACAGCCTTCGCGTCGCCCTCAGGGAGCTCGCGCAAGGTTTTGCGCACCTTGGCCAACCAAACAGGCAGCTCAGATCCAAGGAACCCCTTCTTCACACCAGCCATAGCAGCCTGAATACCTGCAGATCTATCCACAGGCGCTTCGGAGCTACCAACCTTCTCGTCAAGGATATTCAGCACGAATTGCGCATCTCCGTAGCGGCCAACCTGGTACAGCGAGATAGCGCGACGCATCTGGGCTGAGAGCATCAGCTCGCGCTTTCCGCGCTCGCTCGCGAGGACGAGTCCGCATTCGGCATCGCGGAGGGCAGCTTGGGGGTTTGGGCCGCCGTCTGCGGGCTTGAGGCGCGTGTAGGCGGTTGAGCGTGAAATATAGTAGGCCGGGGCGCGGGGTAGCTCCGTCAGAGCTTGGGTGTAGTGCTGGATGGCCAGGGGTAGGTCGGAGTCTTTGAGGGCCTTTTCGCCCTGAGCTGCGGCGTTCATTGCGGCGGCAGTTGCGGCGTAGGAGGGGTCTTGAGGTTCTCTCTCAGTGAATTCGAGGCTGAAGTGGAGGAGTTGGGTGTGGAGAGGCCGGGCCAGGCGCCACGCTAGCCAATCCTGGACATTTGAGGTCTGGCTGCCTCCAGCCATTGTCGAGATAACCCATTTTGTTTGAAAGCGCATGAACGACAGAGGCGGATAACAAGAGAAACAATGTTATGGATTTATTGCAGAAACACATGTGAGTTTATTTAGTCTATCAAACGAAGCAAACGAGTGATCGCTTTGTCGCGTTACGCTGTCCCGGGCAGATAGCTTCTAAAGTTGATTATTGATTAAGTACATATCTCCTGCTTAATAGTTTTTCTCTGGTGACTTGACCTAGAGCTTCTCATTTCCATACTTCCTGCTGTACAAACCAAGCGCGCGGATAGGCCAGTAGAATTTGTAGTTAGGATAGGATATCATACTATAACGTCGGTTAGAATTCACAGCTCACATTCACGTCAGAAACACACTTACCAGGACTGGTTGAAGACACCTTCAATCGCTTCTTGCAGCCACTCTCCATTTGGTTGTTGGCGAGACATCAACAGCTTGATGCCCTTCTCCAACGGCTCCTTGTGTGGGTAGTCGGCCTCCATGAGCCCAAGAAGAGCCCAGGCAGTCTGACATACCTGAGACTTCTCATGCTGCACATATTGATGTGTTGAGCTGCTGAGGTAAGACTCACCCCAGCCACCATCCGCCTGCTGCTTTTCGATCAAGAAATCGCAGCCCCGACGAGAGTCCGCGCTTGTTTCGTAAGTCTCGCCAATACTGGCCAAGCTTTCGAGCGCAAATAAGGCAGCGTAGGTGAAACATATTCCCCAAGAGCCATACCAACTGCCATCGGCGCGCTGGACGTGCTTGATGTGAGCGACAGCCTTCTTCTTTGCATCCCTAATTTCATCGGCACGATAATCTGGGTAGAACTTGCTGAACAGTGAAAGCGCTGTCACGGACGCGGTCGTGCATTCTGGGTGGTCGTAGCTGATCATGATTCCACCAAAGACTTCTGCGGCGTTGAGACATTCTACCTTGGGCGACGCACGAGTAACTTCATACTCGGAAAAGCCACCGCTTGGATTTTGCAGGAGAAGAAGACAGTCCACGGCATCTTTCAATCGCTCCACAGGGACAAGCTTCGGGAAGTTGTACATCTCCTGCAGCTGCAGTGTTGAGCGAAGACCTTCGGCTGTGCAGTCGCTGACGGTATAACCTTGATCCTTGGTGCTGAAGGGCCATGCACCCTTACGATGCTGACGATAGCACTTTTCTTGGTCTGGGACGTTCTCTCGTAGTTGATGATCATCGAGGAACTCCAGGGCCTTTGTCAACATAGGCCGCCACTTCGGGTCATCGGCGAAGCCAGCAACCACAATGGCCTGAGTAATGAAAGCAGTGTCCCAAACCTGAACACCGTTGGTTCCGTTGGCTAGCATTCCTTCGTCCTTGATCCACATGTAATCATTCAATCGCTCCCGATGTTGGCGCACAGAGTAGCTGTCAGGGCCGTCATGAACAAAGCATGCCACCATGTTCATTGGATTGTTAACGGGTCCCAGCCCCGCATACTTGGTGTTTTCATCTTCCATACGAATCAATTCCCAGGTCCAGTCCTCGGCGCGCTTAACAATGCTAGGGTGTCGAAGGTAGGGGTTCCAGAATCGAACCAGCAAGTCATTAGCGAAATTAAGCAACCAAGTCTTGGGGTAGTAGTTGTCTGCCTCGTGGATGGAATTGCGGTGTGCAGCGAAATCAATACTGTCATAGGGCTGAGTATATAGCTCTTCTCGGAGCGATTTTGTCAAGTCATCCAGTGGATGAGACCACTTCTTGGACCACAGATAGGACATTGGGAGGAAGACCTGGCGCATGTGACACCACCACCGCCAAGGGGCGAAAGGTACCCAGTCGGGAAGAAGCCTAGACGGTCAGTCAATAAGTGACCATGTACAATGATGCTGATTTTGACCCACCAGAGCTCAGGGGGAACTGGGTTGACGCCCTCCCATTTCATGACCCCAAGAATACTCAGCCAGAACTTGGCCCAGTGAGGCCCATAGGTGGCACCTCCAAACTTATGCAGAAGACCCCTGGCTTTGATCATGCGTGGATCATCCTCGCTGACACCGACCAAACGCAAAGCAACATAGTTCAAAGAAGTACCAAGAACAGAGCTGTGACCTTCAATGTGTAGGCCCCAGCCACCATCTTCTGGGTGCTGCCGGGCAAATAGATAACGTCTGATCTCTACTGCATACTCAGGGGGGATAGGTGTCTTGGTCACATAGTAAGTGATCAGAATACCCGGTAGCAAGAACATCGGGCCACCATATTCACAGGCCCAATTACCAGGTTCGAGTTGGAGATGTGAAAAGAATGACAGACCATTCTCGGCAGCTTCCAAGGGCGTCTGGGGCTTTGAGAAATGAGGAAGATCCTGTAGCGGAGTTAGAACTAGGATTCAGAGGTTCATTATTGACAATTGGGCATAGAATACCGTTGGCAACCCTAGGTGATACTTGTCTGCTGTTGCTTGCGGCCATTTTTGAAGTTCCTCATCGGATTCGAGATACCGCCAGGTCTGGCGGCCTTCATCGTCGACCAATCGCCAGCGCGCGTAATCGGTCTTAAGATCTCCATTGGAGTCCGGAGTAAGATGGCCCTGAGCTGGTGTCCTCCATGGGCCAATATGAGGTGTAGAAGACATGTTCAATTGAGTGTTGTTCGAAGCTAGAATGTTTCTGGTCGATCAAACATTGGAAAGCTGGGGAAGCTTAGTCATCGGTATCACGACTGCGGTGTATAAACAAGAACATTCGTAGGCAGGCAGCAATATTGAAGAGGAGAAATAGACATCAGAAATGTCAAAGTATACCGGACATTGTGAATGCCAAGTGCAAGGAAAGGTCTTGGTGCTGATTGAGGAAAAGGGGGTTGTGGTGGCTTGGTTTGGCGCAGCGGTAGCCATACGCAAAACAGAATCTTGATCAGGTTGATTCTATACAACACACAACAAAAGGACAGTATTACCTTGGAGTCTCCAATATAAAGACTCGTCAGATACACAGGCTCTACATTTCTTTGGATTGAATCACTCGACATTTTTGTATACTTCCCCATAACATACTGTACAACTAGACGACCCGATTTTTGATCATCGTCTTGACAGCATCAATAATGCTTGTCTCCAAGTCCACATACTCCCATTTACCGTCTTTAGTGCCTTTCGCAAGAATATCCAAGCTCACCCGCATGTCCCAATCCGTGGGATGTACCCCAGGAGGCAAGATCTGCGCCGGGTTACCCTCGGGCACTCGGCCCTTAAGCTCAGGGAAATTTTTGCGGATGTAGTTAACCACCAACTGCGGTGTGATCATTCCTGAAATGAGAAGAATGCGTTGGTTTGCGGCCGCTGAGTTCTCTAGTGCGTCGACATGGCTTCGGGCGACATCACGGACATCCACCTGGATAAGCTCTCAGTCATTGTACTCGTGTTTCTCCATGTGATGTACTTCTCAGATAGGCTTGCAACTTACAAAATGGTAGAAAGGGAATGTAACATCTTTAATCTCTCTGTGAGTTCCATCGATGAAGTTTGCAATGGCAAATTGGTTAGTCTCGTTGATGGACTTCGGACCTGCGATAGGGTGTGTCATTGGACCGGTGATAATATCAGGGTTGATCACTACTAGGTCGAAGGTAGGAGTATTCTTCTTCATAAAGTCCCATGCGGCCCTCTCTGCTCGGATCTTTGATACGTTATATCCAAGGACATTGTCCTTCCTGTCAATAGCATACTTGGCTGTGACCTAGATCTTCGTCAGTCAAGGGAAACTTGATCCAATAGGCACATGTTCTTTGCTCACGGGATTCCAGTCCTTCTCGGTATACGGTTTTCCTGGCTTCGAAATATCCTCCAAGGAGTTCAGTACAGATACAGCACTTCCTAAGAGAACAAATCGCTTCAAAGCAGCCCCACCATGATTCTCAGCAGCTGTCAGAATTGCAGTAGTTCTAATCAAGTGTCAACCTCCTTGAGCCGATGTTGGATAGATCAAGGGTCCCCTTACCCCATTTCGGCCGGCTCGATCATCTCCTGCTGGATATTTTGCACTGAAAAATTCACTGGAGATGCCGTGTGAATCACATAGTTGAATGGTGTCCTCGCATCATCGAAGAGGTGATCAAATGGCTTCGCGGAGGTGAAATCCGCAACGATCGCAAATTCGACCTTGCCCAGCCAGTCCGGATGGGTTTTGATGATTTCGTCTGCTTTCCCACTGGACCGTACTGTTGCGGTGACATTGTATCCACGCTATCCGATGGTTAGCGGGAGTTCATCACAAGATCGCATCATGCCCACATCGATGAGGATCCAAAGGATGTGAGACGCGACAAAACCGTTGGCGCCCGTTAAAAGCACGCGTGGACCTTGTAAATTTGACATTTTCATCACATAAGAAAGATGTAGATTCGATGGACTGGGGGAGTTCATCGGGCCAAATCCTAGCTTTGAGCATTGCCAGTCAATGACGCCAGTAACATGTCACTCGAAAACGGGAGCATGGAGATTGGCATACATCTATTGCTTATGTGAATCAAAGCCCCAAGAATACTCAATGACTCCCTGAGACGAGAGTCAATTCATAGTCAAAGGAGAAGATCAAGAGAAAGTAATTTTGGCAGGAGTTGAACCTGCCTTCCCGTTCCACCCCAACTATCCAAAGTCATCAACCTTCACCGAACAAAGGTGCAATGGCCCAGCCATTGACCAATGAGGATCTGGGTAGAATACAGGGAGAAGCTACAGTCAGAGCATACATTGACAGCACGCTCACTTCCCTTGTCCATGAGCTTTCTCTATCTCCAACGGTAGCATATCCATCAATCACCCTCAAGCGAAGAACCAATCCAACAGCCTATGTGATCAATCCCATCACTGGAGCACTAGATGTCAGTGCGAGAGCTGAAACATACAAGACGTACTCCTGGCCAGGGGCGACAGCGTTTGAGTCTTGGAAGTTCAGTATGACACAACCCGCATGGCTGAAATACACTTTTTATCGTGGAGGAACTAACTGACAGACCTTGGGAATATGCTTTAGCCGTGATTGTTCGCATCCTGGCCATCATTGACAAAGCTATTCGGACTGGTCAATCGATCTCCAAAAGGTACGTTAAGCGTGTCTCTTACTGATTGTTGAGGAATTGTACTGAGCACCACTGTCCGCCACTCAGAGATATCTACTATATCGACCCGCAATATTTTCGTTCTCAACAAACTGTTGATGGGATCATTGATGATCTTGTCTTGACCATCGGGGTGGACAGAGCAGCGTTAAAAGTGGTTCGTTTACATTTCCCATCCACTGTCAAGCAGGTAAACAAACACATGGAAGCTGCTAATATAGTATATCATTGTATAGGAAGCAGCAGCAAAGGGTCTGATAGCTGGGTACTTTCGTTTGATTCGCGATTCACTGGTGATAGTGGATGCCCAGTCCGCCACCGAGGTCAGTCCATCATCTACAAGGGCACAGGAGCCAAGCTAATCTTTGAAACAGGACACTTTGATCCCTCGCATTGATGAGGGTGATGAGGTCGACATTTCCCGAGTCCGATGGGTACTTGTCATTGAGAAAGAGGTATAAGAATTGAAGTAATACATGAACCACCATGGACTAACCCTCTACAAAAAGGCAGTATTCCACCGGCTTGCACGCAGCAGTTACTTCAGTAGAGCACTGGCAGGTGACGGCATTCTGGTCACGGTATGCTGAAACTTTTCCTGGCCTCTTATCAAGAAACATGAGTTGACCACAGTATGACCCAACCAGGGCAAAGGATACCCGGACCTATCAACCCGGGAATTCCTACACAAACTCTCAAAAGCTGCATCGAAACAAAACAGACCCCTACCCCGTTTCCACGGCCTCACTGACGGCGATCCGCACGGCATGGCCATCATGTCAACATACAAATATGGATCGGCAGCTCACGTGCACGAAAATGCTCGGTTGTGTCTCCCACGACTACAATGGCTAGGTGTCCGGATGACAGATATCATAGGCGTTTCTGATGCACCTGATGACAAGGCTCTTCTCTTGTTGACGCCTCGAGACCGGGCGAAGATTGTTACCATGCTTCGAAATAACCCTGTGTGGGCTAGTGATGGACCTGAGCTGGAGTGGCGGGTTGAGCTGCAGCGGATGCTCATGTTAAATCTGAAGGCTGAAATCGAGGTTTTGTACGAGTCTGTCGGGGGGTTGGAGGGTTGGATTGACCGAAGGATGTTTCGGCAAGAGTAATACGTATTATGGCTGCGCTATATTCACTACAATTTTCAGGTCTAGAGTATTTTAGATACCGATGATTATTATAGAATGAGTTTCTTCTGGTCTTCAGTATGAATAGTTGGTTGTTTATGAGTATATCTACACACGAAGCTCTCGAAGAATGCATTTTGTTCCGCTTTCATACTGCAAATGATAAGAATAAGCTATACAAACCGAGAGGCAATCACACGTCCCAGCCATGCAAAAAAAAAAAAAAAAGAAAAGAAAAGAAAAACAAGAAAAACACATCACCCTTGACGCCAGTCATCAAATCTTGACTCCCACAAGGGCCCAGCACCCGGGAAATAACAAGCAAGTCCAGTATTTCAAGTGATAGACTGCAGGAGAATCAGGGCATTTATCAAAACCCGCACTCAAAGCCCAAGACCCTTCCTCACTTCATCACGGACCTTCTGCTCATACTCAGGTCTCCGCTCACGCCACATCTTAGCAGCCTCGACGTTCGCGGGACTCTCATCATTCGGCTCGGCAAGCATGCTCATGACAGAGATAAGGATCTTTTCCACGCTTTGGATAGGCGACCAGCGCTCCGAGGCATGTTCGTAGTGATTGGGATCATCGCCGGGTGGGTGAAGGATCGAGATGCAGACTGTGCCATTGGGGTATACTAAGCGATGTCAGAAACCATTTTTGGGGTTTACAATCGTCAAATGGAGAAAGATTGGGAGGTGCAAGTGGTGAAACAATGCTATCGGGGACGTACCATTCGGGTGCCACACGCCCCCACCGATGAACTTCATTGTCGGCGGGCTGAGGGGGTAGTCCTTGGGGAACTTGAGCTCGGCAGCGAAAACACCACCCTCGAAGGGAGTGTCGCCAGGGCCTTCAATCAGGGCTTCCCAGTAGAACATGTCATCTTCGGAGACGGGGCCGGCGGTGATTCCTTCCGGGGGGTTGGTGGAGAGGTTCTTGTATTCGTGAAATAGGCGCTTTTGAGCGACGTTGGACGCCATTTTGGGGTGATTGGGTGCGAGTGAGAAAAGAGGGAAGTGGCGAGAAGTATGCGGGGAGTTGGTGGGATGAAGTGCGACGGAGTGGGGATGGAATCATTCCGGGGCGGTGGACGAGCCATGACGTTGAGGTTGTGAGAAACAACGTGAAAAGTGAGACTTAGAAATGAGTTGAACGGAACTTTAGGATTTAAAGTGAAGATAATCAATGCTCAGTTATATCGTACATTGAGAACTTGGACCGAGGTCAGGACCAGTACCCGAGGAGGTTAGTTCTAGGGTTATAGATCTATAGGTTTTCTTTGTTGACAGGTGCTATTGTACAGGAGCTGGCTTTCAAAACCAATCGAAATCATCGCCTCCTCCCTCATCACCTCCTTCATCGCCCCAGGGGTCATCTTGACCCCAAGGATCCTTGGGCTCATCGTAGAAACCCTGGGAGTCCTGGTCCAGTGGCTGTGATTGTTGCTGGTCAGGCGGTGCCGCATCCTGATCACCCCCGCGACCTCTTTGCATCGCTTCATACCCTGCCATTGCGCCTGCACCAGTGGCACCAGCAGCCATGCCATCGGCCATAGTACCAGCGGCCCCAGCTCTCCCAAGTGTGCCGGCAGCCGCTTCACCAACGGCCCCGGCTTCAGCAGCGCCTCCCGCTGCTGCACCACCTGCTGCACCCCCGGCGGCAGCCTCACCGCCCATACCAGGGAACCACAGTGGCATGAAACCAAAGCCGCCGGCACCGCTGTGGCGGCTGAAATAGTCAAAATCGACGCTGACAGCTGTGGCCAACATGACAGCACGTTGGTCCAGGGTCATACCGGGAACCTTTTCAGCGTGGCCGGCTGGCACCTGGGCACCAAGGCCTGCAGAATCCATGCGCAATGCGTAAACACCAGTGTCAGTGAAGAACTCGCGGGCAAAACCAGCAAAGTCGCGGTTAACCGATCCGATCAACTGGTTGTCTGCCGACTTCAACGAGAAGTCCCATGATAGGAATGGCTCGTCAACGTAGGCAAACTGGTTGAATTCGCCTTGTCCTTGACCAGAAGTCTGTGCAAGTTGCATTTGTTGCCCTTGTGATAGTTGAGACCCGGATAAGGGAAAGGTTTGTGTCCCCATGTCTGTCGCTGGATTTGGAGACTGGTGATAGGTGAAGAGGTTGTATTTGCGCCTCAGAGGCGCCCATTGTTGCTGGGCTTCACCAACGACTCGCATCTCATTGAAATTGAGTGGCGAGACCCGTGCATTAGATGTGATGTCGGTTGTCACGCCTTGCAGCGACGTAGATGGCGAGGTGGTACTAGGGTTTTTATCAAGAGGATCATATACTTGAATCTTGGAGTTGATGTAGGAGAAGGGGCGATTGAACTGAAAATGTCAATATAAGATAGTGGAGGCAAGCCCTAAGGCGTTTCACAAACTTACTCGAAGAACCTCATTTTCTTGTCGGTCGAACACATGTGTCACGAAGCTTCGATGGGTTCGGAACCATTGTCGCGCCATGGCATTTCCAAGCCCTTTTTCTTGTTCTGCCATATATCCTATATGGTTTCCCTGTGCATCCATGATGACATACTTGTTCGCTTGTTCAAACCCACTACAACGAAATTTGGTTAGAAAGATTGTTGACTTTAAGCAGTGGTTCTTGAAGCACTTACATCATAACGTTCATCATCTCGAGTTGTCGCTGTACTACAACTCCCGAGTTCGCCAATATTGAGATTGCAGGATGGTTTTCTTTCAGCACACCTTTGGGGTCCTCTGGCAGGTAGACGGGTGCAAGTAGGGTATTTTGTGAAGGATCATAATTGGGGTTATAGGCATCTTGAGGCTCGGGTGCAGCAGGTTCGGGCTGTGGCGATGATTCGGCTTTTTTCGAGGTCTGAATAAGGTCTGGTCTTTCTATACTGTTGCGAGGCCCACGCCGACTGCCGTGGGTTCTGAAGCTCGATAGAGCTCGGCTGCGAGTCGGCGCCCACTGCCTTTGCAGTGGTCGGAGTCTTAAGCTCCACATGATTGTGATGTGCCAGCAACTATCTGAAGTACTAGTGCAGAGTTTGGTTGTGTTTGGCGATGCGCGATATGTAAGGCGATATTCGTAAGGCGATGTTCGCGAGGCAAAGTTGGCGGAAGTCAAGAGCTCGGGACATCGCCGCGGGGTTAAACGGAGATAGCAACGTGCAGTCGCGCAAATCGTGTCTCTTAACTTCAGCTGCTTCTTTCATGACTACTCATATACATGAGTTCTTATGAGTCTTTTTTCTTGATTTTATGATAGGGAGGTCTGAAACCACAAAGAAGTGCTTTATACAGAGTACATTTGCCATAAAAACACAAATTAGATGGCTCTAGATATCGAACAGATCCTCAAAATTTGTCGCTAAGTACGGTCATGATTTATATGTAATATGAGCTGCCCATTGATCGATCAATTCCCACCCAAAATGACTCAGGTAGAACAGCTGCAAATATCCGACCAGCGGCAACCTCATGAAGTTGATCATTTCAACAAATGTATGCAAACTGAATGCACCAAACAAATGACCACATGTAGATAGAACAATCACAGAAGTCCCTTGCGAGCCAATTCGATTTTTCGCGCAGCTTCGCCTGCCTTGAATCCGCCTTTCGATACGCAGATAGCGCTTCCCTCGCCGAGTTCGACCTTCTCTTCAACATCCGGGTGCGGGCAAGGGCAGTGGTGTGGGAAATGTACGCAGGCGAGGGTTCCAGGGCAAAGATAGTTGTCGCATTGAGCTATAAGCAGGATCCCAAGTCAGTTGAATAGTCCCAAGATAGGTAGTTCACCAAAAACTGCTAGAACAGTTCAATTGCCTGAGCTTACCTCCACTCCACATCTGCTGGTAGCGGCCACTGTCACTTGGGGCACTCTGCGACCGCTGTTGCTGGCGCTGTTGCTGCTCGCCGCCTCCAAACATTTGGTCGAAGAAGTTGAATTGGGCCTGGGCGACAGACACCAGGAGAAGAAGAGCCCAGAGGGCTTGACGCCAGCTTTGGAACATTATTTCGAAATCACACCAACAATCGTTGAATAAATCTGTCGTAGATGTGTAGAACCAAACGAAAAGCTATAGATGAAGCCAGCTTACGACTGTATGGCTGGCACGTGACGCCAAGCCCCATCTCCGAACGAAAAACTTCCCCTTTGGAGCTTCGGCATCCAACTCAACAAACACCCAATTACAACTCACCATGTTTAAGCCAGGAGTACTGGCGCCTCTAAGGGTGCTGGAGCGAGCCTTCGCCCCGACATTAAGGTCGACAAACGCACTCTCCCAGTCGCAATCCGTTTTACGAACACTCTCCGCATCTACATTCCCGAAAACCACACCTACACCCTCCCTCTCCCGCACGCTCCTCCCATTCTCACAAGTGCGTTACGCTTCACACGCCTCGCAAGGAACTGCCAACCGACACTCCCGCGATCCGGCCGGAAAGCGTCTCGGAGCTAAGCGCTCAGGCGGCGAGTACGTCGTTCCGGGATGCATCATCTTCCGGCAGCGCGGCTCGTTGTGGTTCCCCGGCGAGAACTGCGCCATGGGCCGTGACCACACGATTTACGCTACACAGGCTGGTTACGTCCAGTACTACCTCGATCCATTGAAGCACTCCGAGCGCCGGTTCATCGGAGTTGTCTTCAACAAGGACGAGAAGCTCCCGCACCCGCGCAATGCGCCCAGCCGACGAAAGCTGAACATGGTCTCTGTGCCTATGGTGGAGAAGGTCGTTGGCCAGTCTGATCTTGTTGCCTCGGTCGATGAGAATGGTGTCCAGATCTCTGATGTCGCGGCTGTCGATGCTGAGTCTGGTCCTCAGTGGCGTCCTGGTTACATGTACCGTGAGGCTAACTGGCAGATTGGTCGGGCTGCTGAGAAGGCTGGTATCACTGCCATGCCTTATGACCGTCGCAACCGTTGGTTGGCATGGAGGAAGCGCGAGCAGAGAGCTGAGCGTGCTGCCCAGATGAAGAGTTTGAAGGGCAAGAAGAAGACGGGCAAGAAATAAGGGCATTTCCAGCATGTGTGATGTCTTGTTTCAATAACTTTGGGTTTCTGTAGCGATATGAGGATCTGAATCTGGTGTTCACTGTATAATAGAAAGAGCATTTCCCCATCAAATTCTGCCAGTAGATTAAGTGCTTTTGGCCATAGCCAGTTTAAAGTAATTTGTACAAAAATAGGCATGCATCATAGCCCAAATGCGGGTCCGACATCTTGAAAAGAGGATGTCTAAACATTTGATCAAAAAGCAACGTTACTTATGGTGTTAGGCTGATATCTCAACACGACACACAACGTAATGGGACACCAAAGATTTGTATATTATGAAACAGACTTAGAAGGTCCTGTCCGACAGAATGTGATTTGGATGCCTAAAAGCATCGAACTTGAGATATATGGCCGTTAATTAGGTCAGTTGCCCTGAATGATATCAGTGGCGATCTTCTCAGCCAGCATATCTATAACAGCAGTTAGCACATACCAAAAAAAACCCCCAGAAGTTAGAGAAGCTTACAAACTGTCGACTGAGGATGACCAGGAGGAAGAAAAGGGAAAGCACTAGCATCAACAACACGCAGCCCATCCACGCCATACACGCGAGCTTGAGGGTCAACAACAGCCATCTCATCATCCGAAGTACCCATCTTGCAGGTGCCAGCCGCATGCCAAAGGGTCATAACATTGTTCTTGATCCAACCCAGTATCTGGTCATCAGATTGGACCTGAGGGCCCGGGTTATACTCATCGCCAATGACAACGGGTGCCATAGCGTCGCTCTGGAAGGCCTGACGCATACGCTTGAACATTGCAATGGCGACTTCCTGGTCTGCAACAGTGTCCAGCCAGTTGGGGTTGATTGTGGGTAGATCAGAGGTCGAATCCGAGTTCAAGGTGACGTTTCCGCGAGATGTTGGTGTGATCAGTACGCCGAGTATGGAGGCATACTGGTAGCCATCTTTTGGATGGTTTGTTAGGAGGTTGCTGACGTTTCCGATGTATCCTGCACCGGATATGTACTATATAGTCAATGTTAACATTTCTTCTTTATTCTCTCTTGACCATGGTTTTATTCATACCTCTGCCTCGGGCCAGTCGTCCGTGAATTTAGCAAGACTATCCTTTGTAACTTGGGAGAAACTAGAGCGCAAGGACTCTGGGATCTTCTCCCAAGCTAAGAAGTCAGCGACTGGGTTGGTCAATGACCCGGTCTTAGTGAGAATTCCACCAACGACCTGTCCAGCCGCGTAGAGAAGGTTGGCGGCAAACTTTGTGAGGGTAGTCACTTGAACACGGTATGTAGGCGCAAGGAATGGATGATCCCACATGTTCTGCCCAACTCCGGGTCGGTTCGCAATAACTTCAATGCCATGAGCTTCCAATTGTTCAGAAGGGCCAACTCCGGAGACCATGAGAATTTGAGGCGACTGGAACGCACCAGCAGAGATGATAACCTCCTTTGATGCTGACAGGGTGACAGTGTTGCCCAGAAGACCCTTCACTTTGACGCCGGTGGCCTTCTTCTGCTTGTTGAAGATGACCTTCTTGGCAAGAGTATGGTCATAGGTTGTGAGGGAAGGTGGATGAATCTTGGACAGGAAAGACTCCTCAGAGCTACTGCGAAGCTCATAAGCCGGGTCAATGGTAGATGAACAGTATTGAGCCCCGAACAAAGAACCCAGGTTAAAGTCCTGTGTCTCGTTGATACCAATAGCCTGCATGCCCAAGTTCATCCATGAGGAAAATGGCATGGCGAAATTAGGATACGAGACCTGCAATGGACCTCCGTTTGATTCAAATGCGTCAGCGTTATAGGCAGCGGAAGCATTGGCAGCTCTATATTGGGTATTCGGCGGCGTAAACTCGACGCTTTTCTTGTAGATCGGAAGGACTTCGTCAAACTTGTAGCTATCGTCGTTGACAACCGTGGCCCATTGGTCCATGGATTCACGGGTTGGGCTAAGTCGAAGGTTAGTTGGGGGATCGGAGTATATACTTCATGTCAACTTACCGCTGATAGATCATAAAATTCAAAGCCGACCTAGAGTAGACTTGTTAGAATCGACTTCCCTGTCCAGGTAAAAGAATAACATACGATCCCCCGAGGCATTTTCCTCGCGCATAGTGAATGTCTCGTCCATTGGCACCAGGCTGGTCTTTCGTGACAAAGCCCCAATCGATGAGAGACTTGGTATTAGGATCAGATCCAACGGGCAGAACGTCTGCCGCAGGGACTTCGGCCAGCGACTCTAGCTCATAATGTCCTCCAGCTTCCACCAACGCAACCTTGAACTGATTCTGTGCCAAACGCGTTGCAATAGCCGCTCCCCCGGTTCCACCACCAACAACCACGTAGTCAAAAGTCTGATCAACGAGGGGTCCAGCCCGTCTTTCGAATTCCTCGCCTGTCGCACTGCTCACCTGGAGCGCGAGGGATATAAGTATAGTGTTCCAAAGCATATCGAATGATTCAATGAGAGAAGAAACGAAATGAAATTGGTTTGATTATAATAGCTAGAGGGATCCAATAATTTATGAGTTCAAAGGACCAATATTCGGTCACTGTACATGTACAGTGGTGTAACATAAGTATTTGGTTGGTAGTACAGTGACACCTCCAATGTTTTAACACCCCCACAAGACCCACTATTTTACAGCCTACCATTTTTAGCTACACCGCCATAGTAAATGCGCTAGTTTGAATTCATGTATAGTAAGTAATACTACGGCGCGTCGCGTTTGATCGCGTTTTTACCTTCCTTAACCTCTCATTATACCCCTTTTCCCTACATTTTTTAAAGGGTTTATACTTAATAAGGCCTTCTTTAATGCTTACGCGCTCCGAGCTTACCCTAGCTATCCGTGAGAGGATATATAAGCTTTATACTATTAGATAGGGATATAAACGTATTTATACGCGATACCCCTAAGTCTTATTGTCTACTATACGATATACTATTAAAAAGGAGCTAGAGAGAAAGGTGTTACGCACTTGCTTCCGGGTCGTCGCTATGTTAGAAGATTCCCTGGGTTATACTTGTCTTGTCTTGCTGACTTCCAATCTCAACGATCTGTCTCTCAACCGTACCGTTGCCTAACAGGCCTTATACGGGCTAAGTCCTTTCGAGGGTATCGAGGAGCGATGCCAAGTAGAGCGCCGGGTTAGTCTATATCGAGATATAGGCCTTCCCGTGGTATTGTCAAGTTATAATCAAGTTATACGAGTCACAAAGGTTTCTGAATAGTAGACACAAGTAACAATGTTGGATTGAACACGAAGAACTAAACTAGATACATGAGGTCCTATATATCCCTAGTTCTTCCTTGGTAGAATGGTAGATAGTAGGCTGGTAGATACGCCTTGGCAGGATCTACTCGTAAACCACCATACCCATCTACTACTTGCATGATCACGTGGTTAGGCTGACGTAATTCCGATATTCTTATGGGGGAGAATATGTGTTTATGCTGAGGGGGCCGTAAGTGGCCCTATCGGCACCTAGCGTTGTGGTGTAACCTTCCTGACTGTTCGTCACGTGATCCTGGTGGGTTGGTTGATCGATTGGTCCATGACCGCCCATCCACAAGTTGCGGTCCCATACTGATTGGTGCCTGGTATGTCCGTAACAAAAGGCTAGTGTTTCGAAACCACGCTCTAGTCGGCTAACGAAGCTTAATTTAACCGAAAAAGTGCGTCTCTTTAAGGCTGTTATCGAGAATCTAAAAATTTTTTATAAAGATCTACTTACTAAGGTCTTATATCAAGTTAAAAAGGAATTAATCCGATAGCTCCTTAATACGGAAAACCACCGGAAGTGGAGATATATATAGCGACCTGATCTAAACGAAGCTAAAGCTATAAAACGGCTTTAATAGGCATATCGCTATAAGCACTTTACACCGGCGGATTAGGCCCGAGTCTTTTAGTCCGACGAATACATAGTTAAACGTAGGATTAGCGTTCGTCGAGAATAGACTTTTATTCGACTAAAGGACTAATGTCGGCTTCACTAAGTCTAAGGTTTTCTATGTAAAGGGAAATAAGTTAAGTAGATATCTTAGGCTACTTTCTTAGGCGCCTAACGACGATTAGACTTAATTCCGCTATTCGGAGATCCTAAATCTAAACGTAGAGGCGTGAATCGGTTCGTTATTCGGGAGTTATATACTCGAATTCTCCCTATTCTTCTTATAAACGAGGGTAGTATTTTTCAATATAATAATACTCTAACGTATACCGCGTATATTATTTGGGAGGCTTTACGCGATATAAATAGGGGATTGATATAGACACCACCCTTTGGATGCTAACACCACCCCTTGCCTGAAAAGTCAGACATCAACCTTTTTCTGCCGGCAGTATTTCCTGCCGGCACTATCGATTCGAGGTACTTCCATTTACTATGTAGCTCCCTAGTAAAATTAAGTCACCTTCGTACTCTACCATCGACCATGCTAACTGCATAGCGCTAGACCCGGATAGGAAATAGATGCTGTTTTCGAAAACTCTGTAGGAATGAAGGAATCCAGCTATTCTGGGTCAAATTTCTTGGTAAATTGCATGAGAATTGTGAAGAAATTGAGTAATTTGTATTGGATCAGCTATTTATGGAGCTCCCCGACGCTTCCTGAGGCGATCAGACCAATCCTCGTCCTGAGATACCTATGAAGCTATTCTCGACCTCTGAGATGTAGCCATGCTCGGCGGCGATGCTTGCTGGGTCCCTCTATGGCCCCGTACACCTTCCTGAGAGGCTTGTTGAGCTTCCTGGGTCATAGATGAAGCTATTCCCGCCCCATTGTCTCCCTGCGATGCCTGTTGTGTCCCTCCACGTCCTCTGCCATGTCCTCTGCCACGTCCTCTGCCACGTCCTCTACCACGTCCTCGGCCGCGTCCACGGCCCCGTCTACCTTCCTGAGATAGTATGAGCTCGAAGCCGGAGGGGTCTCGCTGGGTGGAGGTGTCTTAGGTGCTTGCTTGGGTGCTTTCGCCACCGCTGATGAAGTTCCTAGCGCCTCGGGGGCGCCCTCGCCGGCGCACTTCGAGAGGATCCTGGAGTAGGAGTAGCGGGTTAATAGGAGGTATAAATTTTAGGTTATTAGGGTAGGGATCATTTAAAGAAATAATAAAAACAAAGTGAGATTAAGATTTTGCGAGAGATTAGGACCGAAGGTAGGTAAATTAGAGAAATAGATGATTAAATTGATGATTTTTCTTTTACTAGGTAATCCTGCTCAATTTAAGTTAATTCTCTCTGTTCTTCTTTTTAGATGCATTCGGCTTATTGCCTTATATTACTACATCCGTAGGAGTCCTAGGGTTATATTCTTATTATTATATTTTAAGGTTTCCTCGGATTTGTAGATACAATTTTCTTAAATGCGGTTGTCATACATTTTTCTATGTTCGTAATTCTTCTATGTTTTTCTATAGTTCTTTGCTCTTCTTTAGAATTCTTAGATATTCCATATTTTCTGTTATCTTATTCCTTTTTATATGTTTACTTGTTTTAGAGTCTTTATAGAATTCTTCAGTATAGTTTTTATATATATTGTTTTTCTATTCGAACTTATGTTTAAGTTCTTATATCATATTATACTTATATTTATAGCTTCTACTACGTCTCTTTTTTCTTGTTCTAAGTTTTCTTTATATGTTTCTTCATGTTCTTATTCTTTTATTAAATCTTATTTTGTTTAATATTAATAATAAAGACTCTAAAATAAGTAAATATATAAAAAGGAATAAGATAATAGAAAATATAGAATATCTAAGAATTCTAAAGAATAGCAAAGAACTATAGAAAAACATGGAAGAATTACGAACACAGAAAAATGCATGATAACCGTATTTAAGAAAACTATATCCAGAAATCCGAGGAAACCTTAAAATACAATAATAAGAATATAACCCTAGGACTCCTACGGATGTAGTAATATAAGGCAATAAGCCGAATGTATCTAAAAAGAAGAACAGAGAGACTTAACTTAAATTGAGCAGGATTACCTAGCAAAAGAAAAATCATCAATTCAATCATCTATTTCTCTGATTTACCTACCTTCGGTCCTAATCTCTCGCAAAATCTTAATCTCACTTTGTTTTTATCATTTCTTTAAATGATCCCTACCCTAATAACCTAAAAAGTCTTACATGCTTTTATAGTGACACCTCTAATATTTTAACACCCCCTAGACCTATACCCCCTTTATTACGTAATATACTACCTTATAAAAACTCCGTAAATTTAATATGGTCTAGTAAGGTATATACTAGCCCTAACTCTAAATAATAGCCTATACACGATAGGGTATAGTATTAGATAGTGTAGTGGGGAAATCACGACACTTGTATGATTACTGCCTCAGGCATGATATCCTCGAGGAAGGGTTATGGGCAATCTACGACTGTAGAGAAGGATAGACAGTTATAACAATGCCACTCATTTCCTGATTCAAGATTTATGATCATTATACTCCTTAATATAGTATCTGATTATCCCTAATAGGCATTATCTGCCTAGAGCTCACAGACCTAACTTATTGTTAGGTTTTCTTGCCACCATTTATCGACCCGTCTGTTTTGACCAGACTGCCATCGAGTATCTCCTATTTCACTAAATATTATCCGTAGGCGGTCTTAAAGGCGAGCCTACAAAATATGAAATATAACGCGGTTTCTTGATACAATGCTACCCACACTTCGCTTACGCAAATTGTCGGCGTTCAATTACACGGATATATAGCCCGCGAAACGCAGAGTCCCGGAAAATCAACTTTATAGTAGCCTATAGGTCTACTATCTTCACTATCATCGGTCACGCTTCTACTAATAGCTCTATCAATGCTAGGAAAGCATCTTGACCCTAGGGGCTCTCTTGCTCCTAGCAGCTGTTCAGAGGTCTCTAGGAGTAAGACAGCAGCTTCTAGGAGTCGCGTGGCCCTAGGAAACCTATCATAGCTCCTAGGGTCTAACACCATTACCTCGAGGAATCAAAGCCAGGTTCCTATTAACGACTTATTAATGCCTAGAGGCGTAAGTAGCGCTCCTAGGGCTATAGCTCAAATCTTTCGAAATGACTCAATTGCGTAGATATATACGCAGGATTGGTGAAGGTGTTGAGGGCTTTCCACGGATTCGAAAGGTGCTATGGTATTCTAAGATCCCGAAATATGCTCCCGGGGGCTCTACAGCTCCTAGATCTAGATAGTATATTCCTAGAGCCAATTATATATTCTATCAGGAGCATAGTGTAAAGATCCTAGGAGTAGATTTCGTATTCCTAGAGCCTAAAATATCCCTAGAAGCTAAAAAGCATTTCCTAGGGGGTAAAAAGCTCCGCTTTTCGTTCTGATTTCTAGACTTAAGCTAAAAATTATAAGATATATAGCTTACCACGAATATAATCAGTTCCCTAAGAATTCTAGGCCCTATTATAGCATTAGATAGACACCTTTAACGG